GGTCTTTCTTCAATCCGGAATTTATACGTTTAAATTATCTAACCACTAATATTATATTCTTATTTAATATTTATAAGGTTATTTTTAAATAGGATATTATATTTCGTTTGCTTAAAAAATATAATAGAATACACACAACATTATTTCATTAGTAGATTTTTATAATATTTATAAAAATTGTACGCACTACTCTAACTATTAGAAATTATCTATACACGATGTAAAAGATATCATTATTCGTGAAAAAATTAATTAATTTTTTTTTTTTTTTTAAACAATTAGTTAATCGCATTTCATTAAAATGAAAAGTAAAGAATTTGCTTATCTTGTTTTTGTATATTCAAATTGCAAAGAGAGTGAAATATATCAGAAAAATAAAATTAAAAAAGTTAATACTAATGGAAAAGAAGATTGAAAAATTGGATAATATATGCAATTGGCTGTAACAAGTTTTAATGAGACGGTTGTTTGAAAACTTGAAAAAACTAAGATATCGCTTACCGAATTAGAACCCAAGCGATCGAATCATCAATAACTAACTATCAGTGCAACGATTGTTCTGAAAATATTTGTATATGATCCAATATGATTTCTTATAAATAGTAGCAATCAATTTTTGCACGCGCATAAGGTAAAAGAAAGAATAAAAAAACTTTTAATTCAATAAATAAAATGAATGTCATTTTACTTTAAAACGTCTCTTGTTTACCGAAGTTTATCGTTTAAGTCGTACATGGTTTGGGTATATGAAGTGTGTCAATCCTACCATAACGAAATATAGACATCCCCATCCACATCCCCATAATTGTCAGGATATTTATGACTTTTGTTACGTGTTTTTAAATATTGATATTGAAATCCTAATTGTTCTAATCGCTGGTTGTCAATGACAGTTGTATTATTGCACGAGGACTCGTTCTCGTTACATTCTTTCAAGATATTGTCTTAAGCTACAGGATTTTCTCATCATCTAATGAATTGAGAAAATAAAACGAGCGACAAGAATGCAGACCACCGCCAATTTTCCATGGATAATGCTTATTTTCCGGTTCGAATGGAGCGCCATTCGCTGTGCTCGTCAGACTCCGTAACACCTGGTTGGGTTGGTCGGCGGGCGGGGGAGGGAGAGGTGGCCACAGAGTCGTCGGTGGCGCGCTTATTCAACACTTCCTAAACTACTTTTATCCACACATCGGTACATCGCAAATTACTGAGAGGAAAATTGTACCGAGTAACTGTATAATGGGCTATCACTGCCGTCGATGCAGGCTTATGTTTATGCTTTTGTCAGCTCGAAGCCCGCACACTTCAAAATCTAATTGCATTTAATCTATAAACCTCCCCCCTACGCCCCCATAAACGCTTTTCATAGAAATTCTTGATATTGTTACATTGTTATTCGGTCATTGATATTTCTCTTCCTTATCGACCGTCGCGATATACGAGTGATATATCCGTGGGTGAGACTTCTCCCACCAGAAATCCACATAGTTGCCGTGGATCGAGTTGGATGGTTTGGTTTGAGTGAGACGTTGGATGTTTGAAGAAAGAAATAGGTGTATTTACTGAGCAAGCGCGATTACTCCAACGGTTGTCCTGTCTTCCCAAGGGATAGTACATCTGGTCGAACGTCAAAAATGGCCGGATTGATATTAAAATGTCAACGATTTGTTTTGAGTAAGGTTTCTCATTAGTATTTGTGTAATAAGTCAAAGACTTTGGTAACGCGCGATACACCATGAAAAAAAAAGAATAAGACAAGAAAAAAAATACTGCCAATTGGTGCTAATTAATTTACTTGCGCATCACATACCAAGTCAAGAAATTTATTATGTAATTATAGGTTAATATTTAGTTTCTTTTATCTTGTTTACAGAGAGCCAGAATAAGGTTGCTTGTGTTGTGATGCAAATTCGTAATTCTAGTAATGATATTAAGATATTGAAAAATCCGACGACTGCTAGTTTACCCAGAGGAACGGGAGGTCGGAGTTCGTTTAATGGGAAGGTATGCACGATCTTTGGTTGCACTGGATTTCTGGGTAAATACATCATATCTCCATTGGCAAAAACTGGAACCCAGGTACATATTTATGTTTCGTTTGCTAGATTAAAGTATACTTAGCGAGGTGTAAGAATAAATTTGCATTATTTAAGATTTCTCTTCACATTCTTCGAACACATTGAGTTACTTAACCGAGTGTTTTTGTTTTCATACTAGTTTACCGGTTAGTTATTATTATTGTATTTTGTTAAAATGATACTGTGCTATGCTATGTACTATGCCATGTTTGCTATGTAACGCAAACATTGAGAAGAAAATTCATAGATTCCTCGAGACGCAAGAGGAATGAAGAGTTTATATTTACAGTATAGTTTGAATATGGAGCCGATGCTTAACTTTTTATTAATAAAAAAGTATCAATAAAAAAGTGCAAGTTGTGCATCGTTGCCAAATAAATTTTATTGTGTTTATTAGAACACTGTTTTAAACATAATTAAATGCGTAATTAAATAAAATTAAAATCCCGATTTCATCAATATGGAAATTGTAATTGCGGCGTTAAGCCTACAATGCATCAGTTATACCTCTATAGAGTAATTTCATTATTTTATCAAACATTATGCAATCTATTTTCAGTCGAATTAAGAATATGTATTTGTACATTCGATGAATGTATCGATATATGATTTAAAAAATTAAAATTCATTACCATAGTGAGCGGAATCAATTAATAAATCAATAAATAGTGGAATATGAAGTTAAAAGAATGCCTTAAAATTATCCTTAAACTATTCTTTTAAGCATTTGATTTTCAAATTCAGATAACTTTATTAATATGAAAATAGTTGATTCCTCTTGTTTATAGATTATTATTCCACATTGTGGAAATAATTATGAGGCAGCTCGTTTAAAAGTTAATGGTGATCTCGGCCAAATCATATTTCTTCCTATGGATTTGCGAGACGAGGATGTAATAAGAAATAGTGTAAAGTACTCCAATGTTGTTATTAATTTAATAGGCCGTAATTGGGAAACCAAAAATTATACTTACAAAGATGTTCATGTCGATGGAGCAGCAAGAATCGCAAGAATTTGCAAAGAATCCGGCGTTGAAAGATTAATCCATTTTTCTCATCTGAATGCCTCGCCTCAACCAAAGGTAATTTAAACTTTAAATAAATATTGAAACTGTACATGGCACTAAAAATTACATAATTGACCATGAGTTATTTTCTTCAAGCCAATATTCAAAGAAGGTGGCTCGAAGGTTTTGAAAGCCAAATATTATGGAGAACAAGCAGTCAAAAGGGAATTTCCAAATGTTACAATTATTCGACCGTCTCTTATATATGGCTCAGGAGATGAATTTATGCAGGCGTACTGTTATTCTCGGTGGAGGAGAGTCATGAAGTTAATAAAAATTTATATATTTAAGCAACTACGTTTGCATATGTATATATAGATATATAATTCATAGTTTATGCAAACATAGTTGAATTTACTTTTTAATTATATGTTTGAATTAATCGTTGATATTTTTTAAAAATACCATATTTTAGTAATCTGCTACTTTACAAAATGGGAAAGGAATGTATAAAAATGCCTATACATGGAAAAGATGTCGGTATTGGAGTAGCTGCATGTGTTGAAGATCCTAATACCGCTGGCAAAACCTACCAATTTGTTGGGTAAATATGACAATTACACTTATGAATGCTTGCATATTCATAAAATTTTATATTATGTTCGTACGTTTAATATATATTTATACAATTAATTTTTTTGCAGAGAACATGCTTTCATTTTATACGATTTGATGACGTGGCTTATTAAAAAAACAAACATACATCATAAACATATTAATCATGTGGTAGTAGATTCAAAATATTTCTTTTTCTATTATACTTACTTGAAAATTCTCGAATCTATGCCAGGTGCCCCAATATCTCGTTTATGCACGGAATGTTATGAAATGGTATGAAAAAATTCTTTGAAAGAATCATTTTATTTTATAAATTATTTGTACATAACCTTCGCACTTTCATATTAAATTTAACGTTGCTGTAATTAATTCTGTTATCGATCTTCAAATTTCCAATTTTATATCATAAATTAAAATTCAAATAATTTTCATATTTTTAACATATTGTTTGAAAACAATAGGTTTAAGAACTTAAATAAGTAAAATAATATATTATTAGATATAATGCAGTAGTTTAAGTAATTCATAATAATACTTATAATAATAATAATAATAATAATAATAATAATAATAATAATAATAATATCAGTTTAAAATTCCTTTAAAAGAAATACTAAATTATGCTTATTTTTAATAGGATAATACCAGTGATACCGTACGACCAGAGTTACCAATGTTAGAAGATCTTGGTATCAAACAAGCAAACTTTGAGGCAATGGCAGAGTTTGAAATTAAATATTACAATAGATTCGCTATTCAGATGGTTGCTAATAGATTCAACCCGTATTTGCCAATACCCGAATCAGTTAATGATTATAATTTCTAATTATTCATACAAAATGTAAAAAAATACTTTATGATTAAAAGGATGCGTCGATCTATATTCTAACTAGGTATCCAATTTAATTGAAATTGTATATTAATATTATAGATAAATAATATATCATTGAAAGAAAAACAAAAAAACAAAAAAGAATAGATCTGCATAAAGAATATTGTATTACAAAGTATAATAGAGTGAAAAATTACAAATAAGCACGATTTAATAATAAAAATTTTTTTTTAATTTGTTTATTTATTATATGATTGCTTTTATTGAATAGTTTTATAACCACAATCATTATTGTATGACGGAGAGGTAATCGCTGTATATAATCTCTGCAGACAATCAATAAAAAATACAAGCTAAGTTGGTCCTCGGTTATTATGCTGACCGAAGGCCAAGCAAAGTCTTATAGATTAGTTCGCCAAACCAGCTGGAAAAATAGGAGAAAAATCCTTCAACTATCTTAATAGTATTTTAATGGTTTTTTTTTTGTTTTTTTGTTTTTTTTTTTGTTTTTCTTGTATATTTCCTTTGGAAATGCTGTGCACGAAAATTTTAATATCTTATTACATTATGCGCTCTGCTTAAGTTAAACAAACTCCATACTTCATGTATTATAACTACAGTTTTGTTATATAATCATACACATAAAGGTCCAATAAAATCAAATCAAATCATTGAGTGATAAATATAGTGAAACGAAAAATTCATAATTATTATATAACTCACTATTAAATTGTCAAATATAATTATACCTGTTACTCTAAAAAGTACATCGACATTCTTCCGAATCTTGTTTGAGGACAAAGAAATCAATCAGGATCTTGATCCTTATTTTTCCGACACTCATTGCACGGCGTTTTGGCGAAGCCTTTTATATATATAGACATCGACGAATCAGCAGCGAAGAAGCAAGTAACGACTTTCGATGTGGTGGTTACACAATAATTTGACTATTAATTTACCTTTAATATCTCTCTTGGACGTTATTATTCTCTTCGCAAAATGTTCCTGCAAGCCTATGATCGCTTTAATGGTCAACGAGAGATGGAGTATAATAAAAGTGGACTGGACAGTCAATAAACTATTGATATTCTTCTTATTTATTCATTTAGATGAAATTTCAGTTTATTAAAATTATTTTACTAAAGTGACTTGCGAGATCGCAAACGTTCAGCCTAATCTTAAGAAAGAAAGGACATTTATTTCCAACAATAACTAATTTGGTCAACATGTACAAAATATTTATAAACAATTACATATTAAACATTCAAAGAAGAGTTATATTTTAATATTTGTAAGTATCTAATACGTTATTTTTCTATTGATGCAGACAGTTGAAATATTGCAAACGCAAGATGAGAATCTTTCCTAATTTTACATATTTTACGAATTATTCATTTATTGAATGCAAAATTTATGATGTTTAAATATTAAAAGACACGTGTTCGACAATCCTGATATCATACAACATCCGAATATTTTAAATTATAATACTAATGTCAATAAACAAGCGATATATGGATAAACGAATTAAGAAAACTTATATCAAACAATTGTCGTTTATAAATATAAAAATCTAAAAAATATTGAGCTCGGTAGAATTTTATAATAATAGGTATTATAAGAGTGAAGTGTGGTTTAACAATTAAACGACCGCATCGGCAGTCTTAGAAAACCAAATGTATGATACAAAATAAATATTATTTCTTTAGGTAATTGATTAAAAAATTGAACAAAAATATATTAGCGTACAATAATTCATTATAAAATGCAGAAATATAACTAAACTATTGTTGAAATCTTTCAAGTCGTCATTATTCCTGCTTTCTACAATAATATAAATTTAATTCTAAAAAAACATTCTAAAAATTTCTATAATAACCATATTAATAACTCATTCGTAAAATCCATCTTTTATTCACTTAATAATCTTCATTAAGAGTCCTAAAAATGCGATTTAATTTAATTTGCAATGCGTACACGTGGCAGGGAGATCGAAAAATTGTTGGAAAACTTTAAAAGCATCGAATACAAAGACTATTTTTTCTTTTTTAAACATTTATAACTTATAATGTGTATATATATATATATATATATATATATATATATATATCTTTTTTATACATATATATCTTATATTGTGTATATATATATATATATATATATATATATATATATATATATATATATATATTGAATATGACATTATAACAGTATAAAAAGATGTGTAGATAAAAGTTTGAAAAATACGGTAAATTACGTTGGTGTCAGGTCAGTATATTTTATGCCTCCTCGTACTCGCAAATGACAATTACCACTAATTCAAATTGTCCTCGACTGATTTTCAAGCCGATAGAGAAATATCGCGAACATTCCTTAGGCTAATTAATATAAAAAAATCTTATTTATTTGTCATATTTAAATATTACTTGTAGCCAAGCGTACACCTTTTATCAAAATAAAAAAATGCATGAATTTTGAAACTTTGGACAGTCATTTCTTTTTTTTTTTTTTTTCTTTTTTTTCACTTGTATCTGTCATTATGTCAATGATTATTATACACATGTATTTAATTAATTATTTGCATAAGCAATATTGTTCGGGTTCGGCGCTTTTATGCATTTGCATATTCGCATTTTGCTTGCTATTACATATTGCTATGGTGTAAAATTATACAAATTTTTGTAATTAATATGAAATTAGGTTAATTAATGTAATTTTGTAACGAAGTCGTATAATTATAATAAATACAATTTTTTTTTTTTTTTTTTTTTTTTTTTTTTAAAAAAAAAAAAATTTTTTTTTTTTTTTTTTTTTTTTTTTTTAAATATAATGAAAACGGGCTTGTAACAAATAATATTATAAATCGGTAGATACAATAAAATATTTAATACTAATAATTTGTATTTTCAAACATTGTCATTATATTATAAGTTTGATGTGTTGTTAATAAATTTAACTTTAAATTTAATAAATGAGATTTTAAGAGCGATATTTCACTTACACCCTAATACATACATACGATATTACTTTAGGTATAATATACTATAACAATTATGTAGCTAGTATTTAAAATTTATGGTTTACTTTCAATAAATCTTAAAATCTTATAAATTATTTAGCACAATTCAATTGGCTTTCGAGTACATAATGAAAATTTAATATTTCTTTTTTCATTAAAAGCTCGTTAGGTTATTTGCAATATACGTTGCATATACGCGTTAAATCATTCTTTCCATCGCTATATGTGTATGGGCACATATATAATATTAAATTGTATTATATTATTTCGTTAATATTAATAATAGTTGAGATTTCATCCGTTGAAAGATCGTCCGTAATATATCTTGAACTTTTTTCTTTCCTTGTTTCTTTTCTTTTTTTTTTTTTTTTGTTGTTGTTGTTGTTGTTGTTTAATACATAATACTTTCATTTGTTTGTCTTAAATTAAATCATTCCCTTGAGCCTTTTTTTTGTGCTGCAAACTTGGAAAACATTCGACAACGTAGAATATAAAAACTAATCATCATCGAACAGATAGAAAAAAAGCATAAAAAATGTAATTTAAAGTGATGTTATAAAACGCGTTCTTGATGACTGGATAATATATAAAATATGTAAATCCAAGATATTAAATTAATATTAAGTAAAGATTTTATACGAAGAAAAGTTTGTTATAAATCGAATGGTATAAAGCGCGGAAAATTTTCTTATATATATATATATATATATATATATATATTAATGTTCCTTTATTCGATCATTGAAAATTAACTTTCATTTCAATGATTCATCGTATCTAATCGAGCAAATTATACGGAGGTAATTATTGAAATTATTTTTACCATAATGAACTTTGTCTAGGAATAAACATGGACAGACAATAATTAATATTTTATTTGGCATTGATCTAAAAATAACAAATGTACCTTTTTAAACTACGTCGGATTTCCGAGTTTCGTTAATAACTCGTAAACAGCGTGCAAATAACAATTTATGCAATATCTCCAATAAAATGATGTATATCCTTATAGATTTTATCTCGTTTTTTTCTTCTTTTTTACAATATCTCAAAATTCTATATAAATTAAATAGAAATTTAAATAGAATCTTCGCAAATTATTTCATAATGCTTTGAACATTCTCATTCTACACGAAAAACTATGATCAAATTATTGTAATGACAGCTACAGTATTTTTATAACAATAATCGTAAAATACCTTATACACTTTATTATGAATAATATTCTTTAAAATTACGATTCCCATTAGTACTATAGTGATAATAGAAAATGAATGATACAAAAGATATTACACAGTTACTAAGTTTTGTGAAACGATGATGAAAATCAAAATTACAATGTAAGCATTACTTGTCAATTTAAGAATTTTTGAAAATGAAGTTTAGTTAGCTTATGTTGAATTGCATTGATGAAGATAAGAAGCGTAAACTCGCAATTTAAGGGACAAAAGTATGGACTAGAGTAAATCTAAAATAAAAATTACTGAATCCTCTGTTGTAACTTTCTTGGGAAAAGCTTCTCGCATAATAGCGTTTTCATTATTTTAAAAATACTCCTTGAACATTTTTGAAAGTTAAAAATATATATTTGATATTATAATGCGGCAATGCGCTGGTATGATTTGCCTAATTATGAAGAGTTTTGATAGGTAAATGCCGCAAAAGAAATGTATATATTATAATAAAAAATACTCCATTATGTTAATGGATGATGATGATTGATATGAGGAGGACACATGGAAACTGAAATTAACGCGAGTTTGATAAGCTCGTGAAACGCCGTATGAAAATAGGAGCGTCATACGTGAGAAAAATCTTGATTTTTATTCGTAATCAATAAAAATCTTTCCCATTGACTTGACTTTCATCTTTCATCCAATTCGCTCCCTGTCAGCTATATAAATTTGCACAACCTTAGAGTCAATTGGTGTACGCGCGCGCGCGCGCGCGTTTAAGGGCGAAGGGGCGGTGGGAAGGCGCTGGCCGGGGAGAGGAGAGACAGAGCGAGGAGGGATAAGGAGAGGGTAGAGAAAGGGGTCTCATGAGGGGACGAACCTCGAGAGGTAGAGGAGTATCGGCACGATAAGTTCGAGTCCGCTCGAGCGAACGCTTACTCCGGAGCCGTAATTGTCCTTGGTGAGCTTGTCGTGGCAGCTGGCGATCGAGTCGAGGTCGACGAGGCTCATCGGCTTGCCGTTGAACTCCGCCGTGGAAATGCAGTTGTTGCGCCTGCGAAACTCGTCGGCCGAGCCATTAACGAAGCCGCTCTCGAGGACAAGATGAATCTGGCAGTCGCAGGGGAAGTGGTTGCCCTCGGCGATTACGGTGCTCACGCGGAAGTAGGCGTCCCCGAATTTCGGCGCCTTGAGCACGTGGTTCTTCTGGAAGCGCAGCATGTTTATCGAGTAGTTGGAATTGAGGTGGAGTTGCTCGATCGCGTCTATCTTGTTGCTGATGATGTTGAGCGTGTCGATGTGCTCGAGCCCGAAGAACGCGTCCTTGTGGATGACGCCGAGATCGCTCGTCTGGATCACGAAGTTGCGCACGTTTCTGGAATGGGGAGTGAATTTTAGGGCGCCGGAACCTTAACGCGTGGCGTCGTTTGAACAGAGTTTTTCTTTTTCGGCAGTTTAATGATGATATGGATAAGGGCAGCAAAGCTAAGCCGATAAATCGCGGATCGTAAGAAATGAGAAGCACATTACGAGACAACGACACATCTTAAGAAGTCTTGTCGGAGACTCTCTCTTACTCTCTCTCTCTCTCTTACTCTCTCTCTCTCTCTCTCTCTTTCACTCTCTCTCTCTTTCACACACTCTCTCTCTCTCTCTCTCTCTCTCTCTCTCTCGCTCACTCTCTTATGAAATCGATCGCTACGATCGCATTCGTAAGATTCAGAAGATCGTTAGTATTGGAATTTAATGGGCGAATAACGGCTGTGAATTAAATGAGACGGGCGATCGTTCGGATGTTTGAAAAATCAAGGGAATTAATGGATAAAAGTCGAGGTGGCGAGCATAATGCAAATGCGTAAAGCAAAAATGTGTTATCTTATCATCGAACGTGAGAGAGAAATAGAGAGAATATAAAAGGGCGAAATACTCACTTGAGACCGCGGAAGGTGTAGGGCTCGAGTCCCTCCAGATCCATAAAGGTCAGCTTGAGGAGACCGACATACTCCAAGCCGTTGAAAGCGTCAGCCTCGATGCTACGAATCCCGGCCGGAAGTACGAGATGCTCGACGAAGGTCAGCCCCGAGAAGGCGTTACTATGTATCGTCTTGAGTGGATTGTTGCTGAGAATAATGAAGGATATCTGGGAACTGCCGGCGAAGGCCTTACCCCTGATGTGAGCGATCTTGTTGTGCGCGAGGATGATGGTGCTGACATTCTGAAGAGCGGCGAAGGAAAACTCCCCGATACTCGTCAGCGGGGTGTTTTGGATGGTGAGGGTGTGCAGCTTGCTAAGACCACGGAAGGCGAAGGGTTTGATCGTGGATATATTGTTGCCGTCGAGGCAGAGCTTCCTGAGGGAGCGGAGTTGGGCGAAAGCCTCGCTGCGAATTACCGGGAAGTCGTTCTTCGAGAGCGAGAGCTCCTCGAGGTTTGCAGGCAGGCTACTCGGGATATCCCTCAGGCCACCCGTGTTGCACAGTATCTGCAAAAATTCGCGCGAATAGAGAGGCTTCCGCGACTCCAAATTTACCAAAGAGCTTGATTGCAATTTCGAGAATAAATAATTATTCCATAATGGCGCGGTGAAGCCCGACGCACTGTCAGATTAACAAATCCTCTCGTTTTGTACTTACCATTACTTAAACGTTACGTTACTTCAATCTTTCTCAGTACATTGACCGAAGCGTATGAAAACTTTTAGTCCTTTTATAAAAACATCCAGCACACTTTAAAGTCTACATTAACTCCAAAAGCGCCAGCCCAACTTTTTTGTATTACATATATATATATATATATATATATATATATATATATATATATATTCTTTTCATCCATGATTCAATTGAGAATTTAATTATTAATTAACCATACAATGATGAAATTGATTAATTTCGCAAATCGATCGTTAAGAACTCTGTACTCTAATCTCTTGTACTCGCTTCTTCTGTAACTCGTTGCCACTCACATTCACGCGCATTTACAATATTACAGTTATTGTTTTACCATCGACACATACAATTATCATTTCCAGTATGAATATTGCACTGATTATCTCGATCTTAAATTAAAATTATCAAAGTTTAAACGCGATGACGGATCAAGAGATGAATAACGATGATTCAAATTATACATGTCGATAACAAGTGCAATATTATAAAAAGAAGAAGAAGAAGAAGAAGAAGTAGAAGAAGATAAAAAAGGAATTGAGAGAAATTTTTTTTTGATAGACTTCAATAGATGACTGACGATATGGTATAACGACGTTGATCAAAGAAATCTTGTTGGAACTCTAGTATTCGCGTCTCTTGATAATCATTTAGAAGAAAAGGTGCCTTTTGCATGCAGAGTGGTGCCGAATGTCAACCTAACGAAGCTACATTCAGACGAGTAGAATCTACGAAAAAACAGTCATTTTCACGTACAATACGCGGACAATTTACTAATTTAACTGTTTTGTAATTTTACAGCTCTTACCGAGAGAGAGAGAGAGAGAGAGAGAGAGAGAGAGAGAGAGAATCGAAAGTCCGTTAAAATCACGGATTACGTGATTTTCTGAAATCTGTATGGTGCTTAAATGTATACGTCTCAAGGGAATTATTAGGAAATTTGTTCGCTTAAAATAATCCTTTAAAATAACATACAAGATGATCATCTCGAGCTCCCTCCACAATTAAAATCTTAAAACAATGCTATTATCAAGCGAATATCGCACATATTGCAAAAATAAAACTTCGTATCGATATAATTCTATGAACAAATACAAAAGTTATATATGGCAACCTCTCTTAATGCAGTCCCATAATGTCTTAAAATTAATAATATTGTATTGCTTAGGTGAATAAAATGTATTTCATTCTCATTCGTCGTGTCAGAATATAAAGGAATAATTGAAATACCATATTATGCAAGTACAGTGGAATCTGGTGGTTAAAACTTATGTGTGCTACAAAGCCCCATAGACTAAGCCTCAAAGAAAGACTAAAAGTTAGGAGTGAAAAATAATTTTAACTGATTATACTTATTTACTATATTTGTTATGAAAATTGTGGAGCGTTCATGTGCTATTAGCAATATTTTTATATTAAAAACTTGAATACTTAATAATTGTTGATAAACTTACTAATTAAAGGATACCGTGTACAAATATAACTAAAGTTTTTTCTCACTGACTTTCAATAAAAAGCAAAATATTATTATTAATAAAAAAAAATAATGAATTAATGTCTCCAATTCGCTGACGTATAATGTTCTACTCGCTTTTGAAAATATCAATACGTGATTTGAGCGAAAACCGATCGATAAAGAACAGACAAAAATCTCTTTTTATCCAATTTACTTAACCTCTGCAACATTAATTCAGACTCTTTAAGAGAAACTAAGTTCTACCCATACTTATGATTTATTTAACAACTATTAAACACTTCGTTTCAAAGATAATAATCGATAATAATAAAATTTGTTATGATTTATCATTGACACGTGACGATAAAAAAAAAAAAAAAAAACCCTAAGGAATCGACATTTATTAACACACCCGATAACAATAATGTCGGTGAAGATTGCAAAACGTACGATATATATATATATATATATATAGTATATGTAATTGCAACTGTGTGTCAACAAGTTCAGTTCCTTATCACGTCACCAAATTACTGCCGAGCCTTTAAAGCTTTGTCGAGAAGAGACAAGGACTCGTGTCGAATTACTCATTGGATAAAGAGCAAAACAGTAAAACAAATGAACAAAGCTACAATCAAATTTGTCGTTTTATTCCCATGTAGATGAGCCAGAAACTTTTAATCACACACTTTGTCGCTACAGGGAATTTCATCGACAAGAGACGTAGCTCGAAGAGCAACTAGCTCCTGCAAAAACAAAGATAAGCACTTATAGTGAAACTCGGCTCTTTCCCGCTCAAAAGGAACTTTGGGTCGAACACATTAGGCAGACTGTTAAAGTGTGCAGGAATTGCTTCTACTTCAGGAAACTATCAACAAAATTCAATCTAAATTGAAACATTTCTTTAATTAAAGGAAATATCAGGGGAAAGGACTTCCAAACATTGTTCTTATGAGAAAAAATGTATGCCACCCTGTGCTCGGATAATATGAGAAAATTATGAGAAAATATAATTAATACTGTCTTATTAAAATCATAAGTGTTATTTAGGAATGTGGAGGAATAGTTAAAGCGCCATTTTATGAAAAGGATAGAGCATACATTACTTCTCCTGGTTATAATATCATTTGCATTATAAAATCCTTATTAGCATTTACTTATTATACAGCAAATATTTCATATTTATTTCTTGATTATTTTAATAAGTTTTCAAAGATTAAGCGTACGAAAGTATTAAGGCGCCTGTATTTAAAAAGTAATGAGTAATTGACCTAAAAATACCTAAAAAAAAATTGTATTTTGTATCAATAGTTTGAGATAGTTGGTGGAAAGTTTGGTTGGTGTTGAAGTTGGTTGGAAGATTTAATTTTATTTCATAATGTATAACAACATTTCTCATATTACGACTAAAAGTCACAGTAACAACTACTACTTTATTTTATTTCTCATCGCGATAAAAAGCTTTAGACGTCAAAATAACACTTGAATTACATTTGAAAAATTAAATCCTTTAACATTTTTTATAATATGAAATTTTCTTCTTAAAATGACAATAGTAGAAATTACATCGAAGAATAATTATGAATATTGGGATTTAATCTCTTCAAAAGGCTTATACAAGTGTAATCATTTTATCTTTTAAGTAAATGACAATTCTATACTTTTAATAACTTGATAATGGACCGTACTGCTTGGCATTATATATGAAAGAAAATGAAAGAAATAACATCATTGTCAAATCAGTTTTATTAGGAAAAATGATTAATTATTCCGAGTCGAGGTAAAAGCATATATTATGAATAATCTCAAGCAAAAGCGAGTCGATATTTATCAAGTTTGAATGAAAGAAATACAAAGTGAATTATAACGTTAGATGAGAGAACAATATGAAAAATGCAAATAAGAATATGGAAAAAAAAAAAAAGAAACTGTGACTGTCAGGGATTGAGTACTAAAAGGATATTCATTCATTGTCCAATTTTTTTCAATATTACCTTATCGCCCAGTAAATAATATCGATTTTCCCGATCCGAACAACAAATGATAATGCGCCCACCGATCGTTTTATATTCGTATATATCCTATCTCGAATCTATAAAATTATCTAACAATTATCAATAATAAGTTATGTAATAAGAACTTAATCAACTATAACGCTTAAAGTAGAGATACTTCATTATTTATTAATTTAAGAACTTATTTATTCGCAACTAGACTACCTAAATCCCACACAAAAATAAAAACACCAACAATTTCTTGTGAATATCAAGTCTATAGAAAAAAAATATCAAGTCGATAAAAAAAAAAATCAGGTAATTTATATTAAAGGATTATAAATGTGCGTTAATATTGAATTATACGTTTGCTATTTATTCCTCGTTCCAATCTAACAAATACTCGCATTGAAGAAAATAAATCGTTTCTCTAGGCTTAAGCAAATTCTCGTTCCATTGATATGATGTTTCGTTTAAGGCTAAGAACGACTAAGAACTACTCGAAATGAAAAATTGAAATTGAAATAGCAATTCAGTCAAAATCAGAACCGTATTCTTTCCTTTATTTGAAGTAAGATGATATTCCGGCTTCAAGCAAATTTCTTCTAGTATTCACTTGGATGTGATAAGAAAATTCTACAAATTTAATCCTGGGGATTTTACAAATTGATTTTATCGAAATTTCAAAACTCCTACAATAGTTTCTACAAATTCATTTTATCAAAATTTCAATACTGTTAACAAGGTTTCTGCAAATTAATTTGATTTTTCTAAACTTCAAAACTTGCTGAAGCCCCGCTATTATTCTCCAATATCTACATATTGATATATATATATATATATATATATATATATATATATATATATATACAATAGCGTTTATTTATTAACGAAAAATTAATGTATTCGATGCCATACTTAATATTAACTCATTATTTTATAAACAAAAATTTATATTTTCCATATAATGTTTAGATTTGTAAGAAAATGAATTATTAACGAGACTTTAACAAAATTTGTTCATAAACATACTGGCATATTGATTACATTAAATAAACGTCATAATTTTGTATCAATAGCACATTTGCTTTGTCACCCCCATAACTTTATGTGCATATATTTACTAATATACATAAATACATCAAGTAGAGCAAATCTATATCTATTCCAATACATATTATCTTGTATACCAACGAGATATATGCAGTCGTCGATGGTATTACGACACACCTCAGTTCGTTATCCAACACACGAATTTGCATTAATTAATGAAAAATTTCCATAATACCCTATTTAAAAAGCATCAACGACGACGATCTATCATACCTAAAGAATATAGACAGACAAGTTATGATGCTATTAGTAA